ATATAACTAACTATACTAGTAGTAGAAGTAGGTATTGTTGTTCTGCTGGAGTAGATGATGAGATATCCTCCACTATGTAACATGGGAGTGAACCGTCAAAAATTGCAGTTCATCCCTTTGATTGGGATTCCTCATCCTACCCCCATATGGATGTCAGTTCCCAGTGACTGGCTTTTGGATTTAGAGCTGAACCAATCAACATAAGTCCTCATACACGTATCACAGATGTCTCTATTCCCTTACTCATTTATACTGTTGTTACTCCATCCATGCTGAGAGTCATGATGGAAGTGCGGTTAATCCCCTTCTGATATTCCTTGATGGTCTTCTTATTCCAAGGATGTTACTGCACTTGGTATGTTTCCAGTCGTTTCAAATTTGATTGAGATAGTTTACATTACACGGACATTTTTGATGCAGGATGTTGGGCTCCCAGATCGATCAATCATTGATATCATGTGCCATGTTCATGCGTTGGGTGGAACTAGATTTCTACTGGTCTCATGAATTTGAGATGAAGATGATATGATCTTCTTTCCTACCTTCACCAAGTGGCTGGGTTTTGGATTGTAGCTGACTTGCCACTGGTATGGCCCTCTTTCCTATCCCCCACACAAATGTTGGTATCTGGTGGCCAAGTTTTGGATTGCAGTTGAATTCCCGACAGTATGATCATCATCCTATCCCCTTATGGATGTCTGTTCCCTGTGGCATGGGTTTTATTTGTAGTTGAAATGCTATGTACAGTACATTGCACTATAGCCACTCCACACCTAGGGGCACATCCTTTTCATCTTGCCCACTTTTATGTTTTCAAGGATTGTATTTAATAAATATTGTATTGTTCGGATCCCTATCCTGCCATAGTTCTCTCCCACTTGGAGGGGCTCCTTTGTCTTTCCACCTATATCTGCAACATGTTTCTGCAATGGGCAAAGAGTATACCTGGTACAGAATTGGTGTAGTCTACCATGTATGATCTTCTACTACGAAGATCTACTTTTCGTGGGTGTCCTTCGGTGCTTTCCGAGATTGCTTCTTTCTTTCCCTTGCACTGGTCCCTCCACTTTTTCGATGTTGGATTCTAGCTATTTATGTGAGAAAAGGTAATGTACCATATCAAAAGTTATAATTTTCTTATACTGAAAATGTATTTTCAATAAGTACTTATCTCCTTTCACATTTCTCACCCTTCCTCCCCATTGTAAAGCAGTGCTTCCATTTTCTGCCAAAACTCAGTGATAGTTTGGTAGAATTGACTAGAGGGAATTACATCATCAAGAGTGTGTGTCACACTCTGATTGGTGGAGGGTTGTTGCATGATGACTTACATGTGAGATGCATTTGAATTAATCAATTCAAAGATGGGTGGGAGTTTCCAGGCTTGTGAAAAATATTTTTCAGATAGAGGGCAGCACTGAACGAGAATAACTATTTATGTTAGGAAAGGTAATGTTATGTCTCTGGTCGTTTGTTAATTTCCGGTATAAATTCTTCCCAAGGAACTTCAGCGATACAAGTACTTTCTTAAATAAAACTAGTTTATTCTTTCTCAATAAAACTTTGCAATACACAGAATTTCCACAGTCACTTTAAGTTAAACACACTCTATAATTTACAATGATTCACGCACTTTACTTACAGTCACTACCACTCTCTTGACTCAATTATCTGTCTCTATATCTCTCTGTCTGTCTCTGCTTTATTTGCCGGGCTTCCCTTTGGTCTTCCTGTGATTATACAACCACACCTTGTCTCCTGGTACAAAGCTGACTTCAGTAGATCTCTTATCATAACATAACTTCATCGAATCAGCAGACGTTTTCAAGTTTGAACACACTTGATGATGAATATCATCCATCCTTTCAGATAACATTTTCATGAACTCTGGCACATATTCAGGCAACTCTTTGTAAGTTGGGTGTCCTGTTATCAGGTCCACTGGAAACCGAAGTTCCCGAAAAAACCACAGCTTTGCTGGAGTGTATCCAGTGGCTACATGCTCTGCTGTTCTATAGGCCATCAATAGCAGAGGGAGTAAGACATCCCAGTCATCTTGGCGGCTATTATAAATTTTGCCAATTCATGTCCAAGTGTCCACTTGTACTTTTCTACCATCCCATCAGACTGTGAGTGAAGTGGCGTTGTTCTGGTCTTTTGT